GTGTGTGTGTGTGTGTGTGTGTGTGTGTGTGTGTGTGTGTGTGTGTGTGTGTGTGTGTGTGTGTGTGCGTGTGTGTGCGCGCGCGCCTTCCCTCTCTCTCTTTCTCTCCGCGTGTGTGTTTGGATAGAGCAGAGAGCGCGCGCTCCGGGCTTGGCGCAGGCACCGGTCCGTCGTGCGACACAGCGGCAGCATGGCTTCGTCTCACGGGAGAAGCGACCTGCGCTTCGCGGACTGGATGGCAAGTTTACCGCAGAACATGCACACCGTCCCGCTCACCAACATGGCTATTCCTGGTAGGTGTTTTTTTTTCTCTTTAATTGTTTTTTTTTCTTTGCAAATGCCAAAAATCTTGGGCGCGGGGGGCGGGGCGGGGAACTGTCAATTTACAAATCACACTCTGTATACATTTGAGCGCTTTGCCAACTTTGGTGTCAATTAATACAACTCAATTAACCAATAGGATCTCGCCATTTTTTTCCTTTCATTTTTACCTGTGAATCAGCAGAACAAAGGGTAGGACCTGTTGCGCAACATCAGAAGTGCCATCTGGATCAGTCCACCTTGTTCACCTTGTGTCTGATGGCTATAAATAGCACATGTTTTACCCTCCGTGGAGGTAGGAGGGACTCAGATTATAGAATCACTGTTGGTCTCTCCCGAAGCTTTTAGATTTGTTTGTGCCGGGGTGGTGCCCAGAAGGGGATGGGGAGGACAGTCGGTGTCGGATGAGTTGAGTGTCACTCAGATGATGGTAGGAAATGAGCTGTTAGACCTTTTAGCCAATCAGGGCGCTGGTCTCTTCAACTCTATTCAGATTAGAAATGCATGGTTGTAAAGCCGCTGATCTGACTGATGAAATGGCTCAGAAAGCAGCCAGTTAATTCAATATCTGCATGCCCTGCGATTAGGCACACCTCCACAAGATAAAGAGCGTTCATCCTTCCACCACCACCCTCTCAATTTCTAATCCTCTTTCTTTCTCTGATTTTTTTTCTCTCCATCTCAGTTTCATCCCCCCTCTCTCTCTCTCTTGTTTCTCCTAAAAATAAATTGCCTGCTGGTTTCAAGGTGAGCATGGTGGAATCATTCAGATGTAGATATAGTGCTCGTAGTCCAATGAGGCGTGGCATTTTACCAACAGACCTCTAAGGATGCAGAATAAAAAAAAATACAATTCTCATCTTATTCCTGCACAAACTGAGAGGCAGCATCATCTGCTGAATCACTTGGAATGTGTTATGTTGGTTGTCTGTCCAAACTGAGCCAAAAGGCAGCATGAGAACATATTCTGTCCAAATTAATGAGGTGTCCCTGCTTCATGATGGTCCTGCGACCGTGCAGCTCTTCCTCTGCATGTCCTCGGCTTGGATACAAACTCTAAATAAATAAATAAATAAATAAATAAAATATTCACTGGATTTGTCCACCTTCTTGCGTTTGCTTGTGCACATTTGGCATCCTGTTTGCCAAGATAAATCCCTCCACCCCTTCACAAAATCTTCAGGAATTTTTAAAAAAAAAATTTATCAGAGCTTATTTTAGCAGGAACCACGTGTTCCGGCTGGTATCTTCTTCTGATTTGGTTCAAAAAGCCTGTCTCGTCACATTCTTTCCTCTCATCTCAGAAGCAGCTTTGTAATCCTTTTGTTTGAACAGGAATCAGAGGAAGACGGAAAAGAAAAACACAAATAATAACAAACTGGAACTTTTTTTACATTTATTTTTTAGGATTTCGATGGAGAAACATGCTGTTCAGTTCTTCACATACAAGCGCTGCCTGTAACTTACTGATATATACTGCATATATAGTTTTTTTTTTTAAAGAAGCATTCCACCACTCACACAGCATGATCTTGGTCTAAGTGGTTCTACAGAAGGATAAACTCACTCTGTGCTAGCATTTGAAAAGCACTTGTTTGTGCAAAAAAATATTTTTTCCTATAGGCCTTAAACTCATGATTGTTGCAGATAAATAAAATACTGTAGCTTATATGAAACATTACACTGTATAGTTTCAGAGAAGCAGCTTTTGCATACTAATGTGCTGCTGCACTCACCTCTAACTTGTATCGTTCTGTCTTTAGTCATAAAACCAGGTCACCGGTGCTGGGATGTAGTGGACATCCTTCTCTGTCGATCCATAAGGTTATCATTTTTCATGTTGCTGGCGCAGAAAATCCAAAAGAATCAATTTCCAAATGACACACAGAAGATTAGGAGGTTAATAAACAAATGAATAATCACTTGAGGTGATAACTGAGCCTGCGGTGGCGGCAGGCAGTAATGCTGAAATACCAGTTAATCTCAGTGTGACCTACTGAAGCTCCATACACCTTTATGATAGAACATCATTTGTGTTGTGYGCAAATAATGCTCGAAGGAATTCATTTTAATGCAAAGAAAATTGGATATAAATGATGCATYCTGCACACATTTATTTGCATGATCAAAACACTTCGTATTGAAAGGTCAGTTMTTACACAGCTACTAGAAACCTTTGATTTCATTTTTTTTATTTTTGTTTGATCAGTTAATGGGTTTAATAAATATATTTGTTTGCAGAGGTGACAGGTAACCTCTCAGTCCTCTACCTCCCATGTTTCCACAAATCTATTTGCAGCCAAGCTGCAGCTGCAGCACAGGGCRCAGTCTAAATGCTGGAGTAATACTGGGTGTATAATTTAAAAAAAGCAGGTTTCATTGCTTGACGATCTAGTAGAAGTGAATGTCAGTTTCAAGTCTTTAAGTCTCTTTTTTTTTAGGAACTTCCTGACAGGTTCACAGTAATTTTACCATATTTTTATGTCATCCTGCCTTCGTACTCTCCCTCACACATTGYAGCTCTTTTTCTCTCTCTTTTTCTAGGCTTCATGATTTCATTTGACCGTAAAAAGCTGCTGATAGCTTCAAAAGAAAACAAAAACATGACTGTCTTTTTGTTTTTGGTTGCACAACAAAAAGACTCCCCTTGAGCTGTAAATTATTCATTTATTTTTGCACTTTGTGGCAGACAAAAAAAGGCAAAAGAAAACATTACATCACCAAAGTGAGGCTTGGTATACATCATGCAAAAACATAATTTCAGCAGTTTGTGGGCTTTAACTTGTCCAATCAGCTGAATGAGGGTGATTTATCATAAACATCCCAACATTTTTGTTTATTTTAAAGCRAATGGAAGGAGCACAAAGGTGAACCAGGGTCTTTTTAAATGACTTCACCTGTCAGTGAGTCAAAGTAATCAATAGACAAAGTAATGAAAACCTATAATTAATATTTCCAGTTTCTTTATGCAGCAACTATCAGTTTTATAATTCAGTGAATTTCAACAAGTCTTGTGTTGCTTTACAAAGTCTGTGTAATCAAGTCATAAAATGTCAGAAAAACGAAGTTTAAAACAGAAAATTACAAAACATGCAGATATAAATAAGTGTCACCAGTTCTTGGCGAGTGTAAAGCACGACTACAGCTCATTTTTAAAGTGTTATTAGGACAAYGGAGAGGGATTATCAACTTTGTCATACGGATCAGGTCCAGCTGATTTAAAATAGTGTGAGAATCCGAGCCCAAAGACACCAGTGAGTCATTTGTCACCTGGAGGAGAGTGACTCAGAGCTGTTGTGAAAATTGATTGCAAATTGTCCTGAAATACGAGCAGAGCTGCGAAAAAGCAGCGTTTTTTTTATAGCCATGCATAAAAAAAACCTTCAGATTTTGAGTTGGAAAAATGTGGAGTAGAGTCTGATTATTAATGATTTTTTTAACCTACATGGAACATGACTATTGACCAGAAAGTTGTTATTTAGATAAATGCATATGAGTGTTTTGTAAAACTGTGAGTCATGACACAATGCAGTTGCGGTAGTTGTCTTATTTATTATATAACACCTATAGATATTTTCAGAATCACACTTCTCTTCTCACCTGTCCATTTTATTTTTGATATTGACAGTAATGCTTTAAACATCAGTTTTCTGTATTAGCCACACATGCAGCTTTGGCTTCACACTGTGACTGGTTTGGGACTCTCAACTCAAAAGAATTATTGCATTTCTACTGAGGCTGGAATGATGGCCACGAGAGGAAAGAAGATRTAGTTGTTTAGCTGATGAACGATGGGAGGTGTTAAAACAATAAATGACTGGAAAGAGAGAACGACTGGCTAGTTTTTGTACCCCTAAGCTGGCTGGTGGGGGGACTTGGGAGACCATTTTTCTGGAGCTATATTACTAACTAGATCTGCTGCAGCTGCACATATTTCAGGCTGATTTGGTCAGGAACCAGTGTGCAAAAGATGTTGTGAATTTGTTTCTGTAGGGCTCTGCTGCCTGCAGCGATATGGGAGGGAGAATCTGTCAGACCTTTGCAAATATTCTGTCTTATGAAGTGGAGCAGTAGTCAAATAATGTACTTACTGTTGTGCACAAACTGAATTCAAATGCATCACTGCAGTTCCATTCTACAGTTTGTTTTATTACATTTTTTATGCTAAAAGAGGTAAAGTTGCATTCATTGTGGCACAGATGATGCTAACTGCAATACATTTTAGTTCAGGCAACAAATAAGTGTTTGTGTGAGGGCAAAGTGGTAAAATAAAACCTTTGACTAGGCAGAAAGATAATCCTAATTTCTAAGTTGCAAGAAAATCAAGCTTTTTTATTTGGAAGGAATTGTTCAGTTTTGATTCATTGCAAGTTTCTTTTGTCCTTTTTTTCCTTTGAGATAACTGAATTTAAATGAGAAGTCCACTCAATTCTCTAAGTCAAATAATAACAGTAGAATAACTCAGCCTCATCTGAACTGTACAAACTTTTTCGTGTGTGGATGTATGTATGTATGCTGCCATAAAGACAAAATGGAAAAGGGGAAGCAAAAAATAAAAGCGGAACAAACTGAAAAACAGATGGCTGTAGAATGAATAAAATCTTATGGTAATCCTCAAGAGGGGAGGTGTAGAGGAGAATCGATGGGAAATTTGCAGATATAGCTWTCATCTTGTAACATTTACCTAATCTGTCTCCTGTCACTTTTCATTCCTGTCTCATTTTCTCCTCTCCTCTCCTCAACATCCCAAAATAGATCTAGAAAGTGGTCCGGTGTAAGCCGCAGTGATCTTCTTTTTTTTTTCCTGAAAAACCAACACTAACCACCAGTTGTCTTTCCTAAACGCTTGACTCTCACTCAGGAAGAATGACTCAGTTAACACAGGTCAGTTCTGCTGGGAAACAGTCATCACCAGCTCCACCTTCATCAACACAAACATCATTGCCAATAAGTGGCTCACTTTAGCCTTTTT